TTGTAATGGTTGAAGAGATTGTATAGATATATATATTAATTCACCATAATCAATTTTAAAAACTGTCGTATGACTATTTGAATGCATTTCATGAATTAAAACTCGATATCAATCATCGTTTTCTGTTGAATAAGCACAATAATAATTATCAACATTAATTTTATTTAATTCTAAATATTGTCTATAAATAAAAATTGTATTTATTTAAAAAGAGATAAATATATTATATACTTTAAAGAATTTCCGTAAGCTTCTTTAAAAACTTGATGAAATTCACGAAGTTTTTTATTAGTCCAATAGGAGTATACAGGATGGGCCATAAGTAATGGAACAAAGTATTGTTTCAATTTCTTTGTTTAGACATTGCGGGCTAGGTCTCATATTTATACCACATATACTAGATAATATAAATCAAAGATGTAGCATATGAACAACATCTAGATCTAGTAATTTGTGCAAAAGCGTACAAGTATAGGTTAACCAGTAAAAGGAAACACCTCTGAGTTCTAACAAAACTTTTATTAAAGCTAAAGAAAAAGAAAATTACACTTACAAATATTGTTCAATGTGTTCATCCTGTACGTCTTTACATAGTTGTAGTCGATCAGGTATTAATTGACAAGCTTTTCGACATGATTCAACTGGGAAGCTTTGTATTTCTGTAACAATAGCATCATTGAGTGCTTGAAGATTTTGAGATTTTCTCGCATACACACCATCTTTGATTACATCCCATAAAAAAAATCCGTCGGAGTGAGATCCAAAGATTGTGCTGGTCAGTCAATTGGTCCGCGTCGACCAATCCACCGATTAGGAAACGTTTTATCCAAGAAGTCTCGAACAGGTTGAGCGTAATGAGCTGGAGCTCTGTTGTGCATGTAGTGTATTTCTTTTAAATTCATTCGACGTGTAATTGCAGGGATAATTTCTCTATTTAGCATTTCGAGATAGTTGTTTGCAGTAATGGTGTCACTGAAGAAGAATGGTCCAATAAGACCTCCAGACCAAATCCTAGCCCATACAGTGATACCCGGCGCATTCATTTCTTCGGTAATGATGATGTGAGGATTTTTGAGGGCGTAGTAAATGCAATTATGTCGATTGACGTACCCATTCAACTTGAAAGTAGCTTCATCAGCCCAAACTATTCGATCAGGGAATGAAGAGTCGTCAGCGAACAATTCCAGGAAGATATCGACAAATTCGCAGCGTCTATCGGGATCATCCTTGCTCAAGGCATGCAATAATCACGAACGATATGACTTCAATCCGAACTTCTTCACCATCTTTCAAAGACTGATTCGAGACAGATTTAGCTTCAAAGAAGCTCTTCTTGTTGATCTTTCAGGACTTTCTTCAAAAGCAGCACGAACACGTTCTTTGTTTTCGTCGGTACTGACAGATCTGGGTTGGCCAGGTCTCGGTTCATCTTGGACACTTTCACTTTTGTCAAACTTTCGTACAATATTCAAAATGTTCTGTCGTCTTGGAGGAGCTCGGTCCTAATGGTGTTGAAATTGGCGAGCATCTTCAGCTGCATTCCGATAAATAGCATACCACTTTACGATTTGAATTCTTTTAGAAGAGAACAACCGAGAACTTCTACTCATGGTTAACAGAAATTTGAAAAACACAGTTAGAAATATACACACAACAGAGAGTACAAAGAGAACCAAAAATACCCAAAATAATGTGATAAACCAGCCGAAAAAAGTGATCACCACTCGTGTTATTGTCTACCAGATGTCACTACTAATATATATAAATATTACCAGAGGAGATGGAATAAAATGTGTTATGACAGCCAAAACTTCAACTATCACACGTGATTCATTTTTTATTGATTATCCTATATTTATTCGCTTTTGCACAAATTACTATGTCTAGATGTTGTTCATATACTACATCTTTGACTTATATCATCTAGTATATGTGGTATAAATATGAGACCTAGCCCACAATGTATAAACAAAGAAATTGGAAAAATACTTTGTTCCATTACTTATGGCCCACCTTATATTTAGGTAGACATATATCGAAATATAAAAAAAACAAATCAGATTATTTGCATGCTCATGATTAATGTTCTTTTTTTCACCAAAGTATCATTTGACTATACAGATATTGCATTATTATTGCATCAGTTGCACTACTCAAATAAAGATTTATGTAATATTTTATATTTCACAATTATACAATGCGTATTTTTAAATTTTAAGTCAAGCACTTTGATCATACTACATTAATTATTAAAATTAGTTCATATTTCCCACAAACATCTGCAAGAAATTAATCAAAATCTTTGTCTTCACTTTTTAATCTTAGATTAACAGTAGAAAATTAGGATAAAATACCCATGTGATAAAAATCGAACAAAAGCCGCCGGTTAACCGAGGTTTTACCGATCCGGTTACCTACTCTCAAAACCGCGGTAAACCAGCGGTAAATCACTACTCCTTTTTCCGGTAAACCGTAGTTTACCGGCATTGTTCGAGCTTTTGTCTCGTCAATATTTGTTTGAATTTAAAAATTATCTTTCAATTAAATTTGTTTATTTCACTTAAAAAAATACAAGCAAACAAAAAGACACCTTACATAGCAAAAAAGAAAAACTTATATTACAAAACAAACGTAAAATAATTAATGCAAAACAATTCATTTAACGTTTTAAAAACGCAATCTAAAAATCACATGTAAAAAGAATAAATTAAAAATAAAATGTAAAAAATGAATTTAAAAATAAAATAGTAAAAAATGGATCTAAAAAATAAATGTTATAAAATAATCTAAAAATTAAATATAAAAAATTAATCTAAAAGAGAAGTGCATATTAGAACATTACTTAAACAAGAAAAGAAAGAAATATTAAAGAATTAATCTTTTACAAACGACATAATTATGAAAAAATATGTATATAAAATAGTTAATTCTATACTATGCCTCTTATTCTTTTCTGGATTACTTTAGCTAGTCATGTAATGAACCAGCGAAATGCACGACAGATCGAGGAACACATGTATATATATGTTTGTTTTTTTTGTTCTATACCCACTCGTCGACTTCTCTTCACCGGAAAAATTAGCGGTAAACCACGGTTTACCGCTAAAAGTGATCCAGTTTTTGCAACATGGGTACATATAAAAAGAAATTAAATTTTTGCTATTCGATTACAGATGATAAGGTTGAAGTACGCTCCTATCATTAAAAACTCGATCCATGGACCTATCATTAGGAAAAAAATTAGTTGATAAAATTGAATCAAATAGTACAGATATACTGGAAATACTTTTGAGACATACTGCACTTGAAAAATGACGATACATGCTATAAAATATATATGATACATTTATTTTTGATGGTAAGAGATTAAAATGATACTTAAAACAAAATATCACATAGAATAAAGTACAATAAAAGCAGTCTGCCATTTGTATCATTCCTATTATATTCAAATGTCTAAATCGATGAATTGCTCAAAAATTTTCTAACGATGGTAAAGAATTTATTGACAAGAAATCAGATGGTAACATTTCCATAAACTGATTTGTGATGTCGGAAGTTTTTTAAAATCAAACATTTATACTTGTGTAACGCAGCAGCGACTCAGCCGATCGATTTACACCTCTACTTGAGATTCTACTTGAAGAATAGTTCTTTATTTTTATTCGTATTCATGTTAACGTTTTATTTCGGCCATTCTCCAACAAGTTGGGAGACTTTTCTAAAAAGAATAGTACAAACGTAGATAAGTCATTCTGCGGATGATCCTTCGTTCAATAGAGAGAACAATGACCACATTTGTTTATAGAATTTTTTATTAAAGAAAAGAAAAACGAAGAATTTTACGTTTAAGAAATTTTCGTTTTTTTCGACCGTTGTAGTCATTGAATAGGAAAACTGATATTTATTATATTTATGAGTGCAACTTAATCTGATTGTAAAAGTGAAGTACGATTTATAACTGATTAAATATTAATGTCTAACTTCTTTGACAACTAAATATCACGTGGGAAAATGACTATCCATTTTATAGACACGTGAATTACATGCCTCATAATCTTAGTTCATACTAGCATTGCCATGATCCATAAAGAAAATTTGAACTTACGACAAAACCTATCCAAGTGATAATTATCGTTCAAACATATACTTTGCTCATAGGTAGACCTTCTATTGTCGGTGCAAATTTTATAAGGATTCGCACCATTACCTCTTTATTTCAGTGAAACACAAATAATAATTTCTATAGAAATGGCATTATTATTATATGTGTCAAAATGTTGGTTTGACACATCTAATAATAATCCTATTTCGATAGAAATTGATTATATGTGTTTCACTGAAGTACACAAGTAATGGTGCGAATTCTCATAGAGTTTTTATCCATAATAGGAGTCATAATTATGAGCATAATATGAGCTTGAACGGAAATTATCAGTTGGATGGGCTTCCTTGTTAGAGATACGTGACAAAAACTCATGATTATACAATAAACTCAATTACGCCATACAAGTAACCATGCTGATAAGATTCAATACGAAGTTAATAACATGGATGTTTTTAGTATATAAACAACGTCATAATCTCAATACATACTCGAGAACAAGCTTTTCCTTCAAGAATGTCGAACGTTAATAATAACAGCATCTCGAATGATACATCTGTAGATATGTTAGTGCCCGTATCACATACAATTGTATTTTGGATTTTTACTATTCTTATCATTCCATCTATTCCCTGTTATTTATATATCTTTTTCCAATTTATTCATAAAGATATGTTGCGCAAACATATTCGGATTCATACTGTTTTCGCTGTGTTAATTTGTAGTTTTCTACAGGTATAGTAGACTTTCGATTTTTTTAATATTTCATTGAATATGTGTTAAGGTGACATCGGAATTACCAACTATACTTTCATATTTGCGAAATAATCTTGTTCCTATGCAATCGAATATTTTTTGTAAGTTTTGGGGATGTCAAGATTATTCATTTAATGTAATGATTTTAATGCTAATGGGTCTCACTGCAATAGAACGTTATTTACTCGTTTTTCACAATCAATTTCTTCATCAACATTTAATTGTTCTTCATTATATACCAATGATTTTTTGCATTATTTATCCAATAGGACTCTATACTTATTTAATTTTTTTCTATCCTTGTATTAATCAATTTACTTATACTATGATTACATGTGGTGGACCTTGTTATTTCTTTGAAACGAGAATTAGCATTTTGGATCAATTTATTGATCTTGTTTTTCCTGTTACAGTTAGTAGTCTTGCTAGTCTTGCACTATTAAGTCGTGTTCTATGGCAAAAACGTCGCATGCAACAAGGTCGAATGTGGCAAAAAAATCGACGCCTTCTCATACAATTATTATATATTGTAATATTGTACAATCTTGTCTGGCTGCCTATGATAATTTGTTCATCAATTATGCTTTTTTCTCCAATCCCACAACCTTTCTTGATCGAATTAAGTATCAATATTTTACCATATGGCATCTACATTGTCATCTTGGTGTGTCCTTTTGTTTCATTAATGAGTTTACCTGAACTATGGCCTCAACACAATCCAAATATTCGTCCATTAGCAAAAAACTGATAATTTATTGCGACCTATCGCACCATTACCAACCGTAGGGATCAATGTTTCATTAAAGGCAATCTGAAAAAAACGAGAACAACTTGATTAAGTGACTTTGAAGGCAAGAGTCTTTTACCACCGCTCAATTATACGTAAACCATTTGTTGCCAGTTATTTGTAAGACATTTTGTGAGTGTGAATGAAGGTTCAAATTTTAAGTTTTTTCTTTTTCTTTCGAATGTATACTTTATTGGTTTAGTTCAACATAGATATTGGCTGCAACTTTTTATTCATGATTAAAAATATACGATTAGATCTTCTTGTTGTAAAACATTCTTGTTGTCTTGTATTATTTTTTCGTTGTCATTTGCTTACAATAAAAAAATAGAATCAATGCATTTCCTCATTTTTTGTTCTTTACATGGCCGATTATTGTATTTGAATCACGAATGAACATGAATGAAACGTATTTCATTTAGAAAAGAAATGTAAAGATTAATGTTCCCTCAACTGAAGGAAGGGTCATATGAAAAAAAATAGTTTGTTTGTTTGCTTGCCGAAAGGTCAAGAGAACACCTGCTTAAAGATCAATGCTCAGATATTTTCAATATGTGCCATTCGTCCAATCACGTACTTTCAGCTTGGAAATCCAGCCAATCCGAGATTTTCGATACCGGTCTTTCGATCAATCAGATTCTTTCAGCTCAAAAATCCAGTCAATCCGGAATTTTCGATCCCAGGCTTTCGATCAGTCAGATTGTATCTGTTTGAAATTTCAGCTAGGAGAGGAATAAGAGAGAAGAAGAGAGAAATACGAGGAGATAAGAGAGAAAAAGAGAGGATAAGAGAATGTGAGAGGATAAAAGAGAAATAAGAGAGCATAAGGGAGAAGTAAGAGAGAGTAAGGGAGAAATACGAGAGGATAAGAAAGAAATAAGACAGAATAACAGGGAAATAATACACAAGAAGAGAGAAATGACAGAAACTGGTTTTTGGGTCTTGATTTTCTCTACTATGATATGCGCATAACATAGTATTCTCCGTAGCGATTGGAGGTTTTCAAGGGTTCTCTATAATTCGCCCCGAACAACCTGATGTGTATCTCGAACATTAGCAGAGAATAAGAGATAGGTGAGAGAGAGAAAGAGAGGCAAATACTGTTTTTTGAGTCATGATTTTCAGCGCTATTCTAAGCGCAAAAACATAGTGGTGTCCGTGGTGACGAGAGATCTTCAAGAGTTCTCTATAATGCGCCCCAAAAAAACCTGGTATTTCTTCCGAAAAATAGCGGGATACAAGGAATAAGTGGGAGAGAGAAAATCGGGTTTTTCTGGGTCATGATTTTCTCCACTATTCTAAGGGCAACATAGGGTAGCGTCCGTGATGATAAGAGGTTTCAAAGGTCCTCTATAATTCGTCCGGAATAACCTGATGTTTCTCACGAACAGTAGCGGAGAACAAGGGAAAAGTAGGAAAAGGAGAGAAGAGAGACCGGCATTTTCGGTAGCGATTATCACCAGTGTTGTAGTGGTAAAGCAGAAGATTGTTCGAGGCGAATTCTAGAGAACCCTTGAAAAGCTTGGTCGCCACGGACATCACGACGCATTCTCTTTAGAATAGTGAAGAAAATCATGACCCGAAAACAGTTTCTCTCTGTCTTTCTCTCTCTCTTCTATATCTCTTGTATAAATAGGATGTCACATTATATTATGGTTAAAAGAGAATAACAAGCTGTTGCTTAGGTGCATTCAAATAATGGAGCGAGTAGTCGTGAGTGGCTCCTCGGAGGAGTATCGACGGAGGACCAGTCGCTCCTATTCCAGGTTCACTGGTGATTCGCTTCAGAAATGACCTATGCAAAGGCTAAACTTTTTTGGACAGCACTACAATAAGATTCTCTTAATGAGAAATTTAAGTAAACCTCTGATTATCTAGCTAGCCAATGAAATTGAAGACATGAAGAATAGTTCACAACAAAGTTTCGACTTTGGAGATTCTCATCAAAATTCTCTTGTTATAACTCTAAGGACTTTTGAAACCAAGCGAAATCTAGAATAAGATAGGGTGTAAATCAAAGGGGATGAACTTATGCCAGAATAGAATTAAGCATGGCAGCGGCTAGTCACGAGTGGCACATCTTTGGGGCGCTCACGAGCGACTAGTTCCCTGAAGGAATATTTCAGGTTATTGTAATCTATCTGAAAAATGTCTACGGCTCAGATCTGACGAGTTCAATAGAAAGCAGAACTGGCAAAAAAGACTAACAAGTATTTTTGAATAAAATGTGAGAGCAGTTGTGCTGCACGACTGCAGTTTTTGAGTAGAACACTCGACGAAAAAGAATCACGCGAAAAATTCATTTCAGCCCATTCGAAGTAGATTTGAATGAAATAAAATAAGCTTTTCCGTCATTGTGTACATGTGTGTGTGCATTTACTCGTCTAAATTTATTCGAGCATTTTGAAATTATCTATCTAATCTGATGTCTACTTTGAGTACAAGCATCATTCAAGTGGCGTATTCCGAGAATAAGTTTGAACAAATATAATTTAATTTTAATCTAAAAGTTCAGCTAAATATGTGTTTTTGTTGCGAACACCAGCAACAATATTGTCCGTTGATGTGCAAATAACTATACAGGCTTTTATTAGTTTTCAGGAAGAATAATGCGTACTTATGCTAGTATCACGGATGTGCTTTCTTTCTTGATTGTCTTTCTGTAGATTAAATGTAATTTTTCTACTCGGGACATGTGCATACTGCTGCTTTAGTGCTGTTTATTTAGATTTCCATTGAATATTGTTGTGTGCGACTCAGTTTGTTTGAATGAATTTAAGATAAAACGTAGCACAGAAACATGCATGTCATCGTACACAAGGATATTGATGCGAATGTCAATATTCACATTCACATGCACCCCTTTTCAAACGTTCGATACTAGCTGTGTTAAGACTACAAAGCAGTATGCAATACCGAAACAGTTGAATATTCAGTCGAGGGTCAAGCGAGTCACACAGACGAGCGTTACTTGTTTTGATTGCGCTAAATGGAAATCGAATACAATGACTATAATTTTCTATGGAAATTTGTGGGCAAGACACTTCATTGAAACATACAATGTCCATTAATGCCAAAAACTGCCCTGTTTTAACGATTTTTGATCGATTTTTTCTTGAATAGTCAAGCTTGTTATTTAAAAAAGTATATATTTGAAATCAGCACAAAAAAACCTCGCCGCTCTCTGTATGTTGTCAAACGCTTCATCGACTTTCATTTTCGTCGGACAAGTCTGACCCAATCCTGAGGGGAACTATGACTGAACTTTCCAAGGACAAATAAAAGTCAATGAAGCATTTGGCAACATACATTGATCGACTCAGTTTTTTGTGCTGATTTCAAATACAGGGTATCCCAAAAGTTCTGATCACTTAAGAAATGCGCATAAGTCTCTTATTAATAAAGCTTTATCTAATAATTTGTTTTATTTGGAAGACAAGAGTCGTAAGTTTTTTTCGTAAAGACAAGGTTCATAAATATTATTCAAAAATATTGCCTTTGGCATCAATACAAAAATTTCAACATTGTACAGTTTTCGAAAAATACTCATGTGAAGTTTCTTTGTTTTTCATTTCGATTTCTTTCAATATTCTAGTCCTTAAATCATCTAAATCTTGTATTGGTGTTCTGTAAGTATTTCTTTTAAAATGTTTCCATAGAAAGCAGTTCAATGACGTTAAGTCTGGTGATCGTGGAGCTGACGTTATTAGTCCGCTTCTTCCCATCTACATACAATCCAAGACTTTGTTTAGCTGGAAACGGACAGCTTGTGAAAAAGATGTGATTGACTTTATCTTTCCAATAAGTGATATTTATTGTTATTGGTTCTTTTAAAGAAGCTACCTTTTCACTCAAACTAATTGAAACTAACAAAAATCTGAATAAATAAATTGATAAATAAATAAATTGAGTACGTATTTTTTTGCTGCCCTATATTGCAAAAGCTTAGTAATACATGATCTTTGTCGATACAGAGACCTATCTACTCGTTTTACAGTTTAGTGCTCGTTAGTCAATCGTAACAATATCTATGAGCATAAAAGATCTGTTACTTGGCGAAGTTTGCCTTTCTGATGGGTTGATACCACATACGGAGCAGCAACACTGATGACAGTTTGATTTTTGGCGTATATTCACAGTTGCCTATTCGTGAATTAAGATTTGTAATCTTATCAAAACAGAGTGGTCAAATAGCAAAGGGATGACTGTATAATTGGGTTTGATATTCAGCACTATTTCTATTCTGAGGGTGAGTGCGGAAAGAACACCCACGCCCTCTTTCGATTCTCTTACGATGGTTTTTTCATCCAATATTGGAATAGTCTATTATCACACACATACAATTATTTCCAATCGTCTTTTTTTCACTTGACCAAGAGGCCGGACAATGTCATTGTTGCAATCAAATTGTGAAGTTCGTGAGAGAACGTAAATACTTTCATGTTGCACATGTCTGTGATAAAATCGGCAAGAGATGAAGGTGAATCTCAGTCATCCAAATATCTCTCTCATATTGCTTGTTTTCACTGTGTATCGAAATTTGTCAATGAAGAGTTGATGTTCGAGGATCACTCGAGATTGATTTCAGTGGCATCCAATGCTCGTTATGTCGTAATATTCTGTGTATTACCGTGAGGCTCGGTATAAATTTCGATCGATGTTCGACGTGATGCGACAAATTCCTTGAACAACCATGTTCTTGGTTCGTTGCTAAATAGCTAGCCGAATTACAGAACTCCTCAAGCGGGAGAAAGCATACTTCTACTCCATTGACTCTATTCAACTGTCATAAAAGAAAGAAAAAAACGCTGCTGATATTTTGAACTCCGAGCACCTTACATATACTGACTATTGAAATCATCATATTTATTATTTTCATTCTTTTCTACTCTCCACTTATGGTTTAGTTGAATTAAGAGAAAGAAGATTTGACTACATTGCTTTCTCATCATTTCTATTAG